TTTATATAGGGAGTCTAATAGAAGAAAAATGTGTTCAAGATTCAGTCTAATATTAGTCTCCTATCTCTAAATTCCAATTGTAAAACTATTAGAGTTACAGGGGCATAATTTAAGTAAATGGTAAAATGTTTCAAACTAATACTGTTTAGAAAAAGTGTGGTTTATTTCTACCACTTAGAAAAAGGGGAAGTCTAAACGGACTGATAAAGTCTCAAGAGGATGCAGTTTGGGCACTTTGAGGGAGGCACCCTGCTTAGTTCTGAAGCCAACTGGGACTCAGGGCTCCTGGACAGACCCTACAGTTTTAAGGGTCGTAGTCTCAAGTCTAAAACATTGCAGGGACATTTGGGTGGGAGAGAAAGATCATGGATGCCATTCTAGCGTAACAGAGAGATTTCCTTTTCAGAGCACTTACAGTGCCTTGCCCGCCTGTGGTTGAGCTAGAAAATTTCCTTGAGGAAATTTCATTTGAGCCCACAGGGAGAGAGCACTTGCTAAGTTGTAATTTCCTATGATTTGAGATACGGCATCTGCAGGCCTCCTGTGTAGGATCACTCAGGAAAAAAACAAAAACAAAAAACCAAACCAACACCCCCCACACCACCAGGGTTTATCTTTTAAACTTGGCTGAATACCCAGTCATTTTTAACTCAAATTTTTCCCTTAACAATGTACTTGCCTTAAAAATACATCCAAGTAATTGTGTGGACATTTTTGGACAGTGGTGTATTGGACTGTGTTAACTGCTTGTTCACATGATAGTTTTAGCCTAAATGAAAGTGCCTCTTAGGCACGTTATTTATCTATTGAATTAAGTTAATTAAAAGAGTAGAATGTTAATATATTAACATAAATGAAAAACTGGGATTGAAGTCAAAATGCTAAATCAGAGGAACAGATTATAAAAGAAGTTATAAAGAATATTCTTGAGGAGAAAACTGTATGATTTCTGAAGTTCTCAACCTGTGTGATCTTGTATTCCAACCTTCCCAGTTCCACCTTCTCCTCCTTTGAAAAGAAGGAAGCTAAGACCCAGCAAGCTGATATAAGGTTCTGCGTTCCCAAAGCAGTGTCCAGGATCCCACGCTGTAGATTCTCCTACCAGCTTGTTTCCCAGATTAGAACGCTGCCGACAGTTCCCGTGGCTGGACAATGATAGTAGCTACAGAGAGCAAAGAAAGTCAGCTTGCCACTGAGCCTCAGTTTTTACATCCTAAAAATGGAGATGGGCCGGGCGCGGTGGCTCACGCCTGTAATCTCAGCACTTTGGGAGGCCGAGGCAGGCGGATCATGAGGTCAGGAGATCGAGACCATCCTGGCTAACACGGTGAAACCCCGTCCCTACTAAAAATAATAATAATAATAATACAAAAAAATTAGCCAGGCGTGGTGGCGGACGCCTGTAATCCCAGCTACTCAGGAGGCTGAGGCAGAAAAATGGCGTGAACCTGGGAGGCGGAGTTTGCAGTGAGCAGAGATCCTGCCACTACGTTCCAGCCTGAGCGACAGAGCGAGACGCCATCTCAGAAAAAAAAAAAAAAAAAAAAAGATGATGGCACTGTCTTCTACTTCTGAGCATTGAAAACAATCTTTTGGAATTTTAACTGAATGCTGAATTGAAGAGAAAAAAACAAGAATAGATATGGCATTATTTATTATCAATGTTGATTCCTTCACCATCAATGGAGAATACAATGGAAACACAGCACAGATGTTTGGGTGAATGTATATTTGTGTATGCATATGTATATGTGTGCATGTGTGTAAGCGTATGTGTTGGGGAACGCAGGCTGGAGGCCATGGCAATGACTATCCTAGAATATACCTTTGCAGAGTTATGGGTTCATGAAGGCCTATCAGCTCGCTTATGGGCACACATATAAACATGCAGATTCTTTTGCATAGATATGCTTCTGACATATAATTATTTTGAATTTTATTAAATAAGACTGGAGTTTGGGGAGTAAAAGCCAGTCTCCTCTGATGAGAAGAGTGAAGTCCAAAATCATCCTTGGTGAATTCTCAGGATGTTTGGATCTGCTTAGAGAGTTAAGCAGTATGTGTATGTGTATGTGTATATGTGTGTGTGTGTAAGTGTGTACATGAGTTTATGTATATGCATGTGTATGTGTGTATATATGTGCTTTTACATGGATGTGCATATGTGTGTATGTGTGTATATTTGTGTCCATGTGTGTATGTGCATATGTGTATAATGTATTTACGTGTGGATGTGGATATGTGCATATGTGCGTGTATTTGCTCATTTGTGTTGTGTTGATGTGTATGTGTATGTGAGTGCATATGTATGTGTATATGTGTGCTGTGTGTGTTTGTGGATGTTTGCATGTGTGTGCATGTTTATGTGGATATGTGTTGTGTGTGTATATGTGTGTATGTGTATATATGTATACACAGATGTGCATGCATGTGTATGCATGCATGTGTGCTATATGTATATATGTGTGGATGCGTGTACATGTGTATGTGTACATGTGTAATATGTGGATGCATGTGTGGATGTGTGTGCATGTGTAAATGTATTTGTGTGTGGATGTGTGTGCATGTGTATATGAATTTGTGTGTGTGTGTGTGTGCGTGTGTTAGGGAAGAATCATGGTTGGGATGGCCCCTGGGTATGTGAGAGAGGAGAAGCCAGCAAGAATAAATACAATGAGAGGAGATGTAGAAGAGTTTCACATAACTTTTGAAAATATTTTGTAAATTGACCGCAGGTTGGTCTTCCATAGGGATCATAGTCAAAATCCTGGGAAATCAGGATTAATTTTAGGTCATATGTGATCCCAAGGCAACTGGAAGACAGGAACTTCTGTGCATGTTTCAGCTGCATTGGCAGGACTAGGATGGTCCCTTGACTCAAGAAACAAATGAATTTCACTAAAATGTCATCATACTGCAGCGAAAGTTATTCACTAATTTTATTTAATGTGCTTCTCCATAGCTCTGATTGGCGACGGTGATGGTGAGGATGAGGATGAGGATGGTGATGAGGAAGACCATAGTGTTTATGCAGTGCTTGCTATGTTCTATTACTGTGGCTATTTCATAAATGAGGACATAGAAATTGGAGGTACTGGATATGTTGTCCAAAGGCACCGAATAGGTAGGTGATGGCAGTGAGATTTAAACCCAGGGAGGCTGGTTCAGAGACAAACGCTTAATCACTACATAGTACTCTCTCTTGCCAGAGGAATGGAGATACATTTTTATCTTTAAGCATTAGCAATGAGAGCTATGTATTTAGTAAATTGCCAGGAAAACCCCTTTTTTAATTGGCATAATCTCAATTCAAATATATAATAGTCCCAGAAGTGTTCATCTGACACCTCTTTCTTGCCTGTATCCCACACCCATCAACAGCGTTTGCTCATGTTTTCATGCACTCCCCCCTCAACCCCATCTTTAGTCCATAATAAAGTCAGGGCAGAAAACAGTTCATGTTCCTTGAGTTAGCATGTTTCTTGATGTGATGAGAGTTTTATAGCACATCACATTTCTCTGTTTGTTGTCACTGCTAGAAAACTCAGAACTAGGTTTTGCATCCATTTGTTTTATTTTTTTTTTCTCATACAGCTTTTGGGAAATTATGATGTTTTTTGTGGGGGGAGGTTTTAATGCTTATGTGAATTCTTTTTCTAACTCCAGTTCTCTGTGGAAGGAAGTCATAGGGTTGAAGAAATATTTAAATGAATGAATCTTAAATACACATAAAAATTATCCAAGAAGTGAATTGTAAAACTGGCTGTATTTTTACACTACTAATTCTGAGGATAGCTAGCTCGTTAATCTATAAAATATAAATGTCACATTATGTTTTCTAATCATAAGAATAACAAATATCCAAAGTAGCAAATCTCACCACACCAAGAGAATGACCACTAACACATATATCTTTTTATGAATCTATAACTAATTAATGGCTATAACTATATATAATATGTGTCTCTGTGTGTGTGCATGTGTGTGTGTGTATGCAACCTATATTCTGGCCAATTTGGGATTATACAATGATACCATCTTATAACCCATTTTCTCCCACATCACAATTTTGAGTATTCTCCACATCACTATTTCTTCTCCCAGTTGTTTAAAAAACTCACACAGGGATTCGACTTACTGCTGGCTTCCCATAAGTAAGATTTCATATCAGCTATTGAAATGTCTATTTATAGGTAGCACCATAATCCACATAATCTTGCATAAATTCCCGTATGTAATTAAATTTATAGACTATTATTGAAGAGATTATTTTTCTTTCCCAGCAGACCTGAGTGTGTGTGTGTGTGTGTGTGTGTGTGTGTGTGTGTATATATATTTATTTATTTTGAGATGGAGTCTTGCTCTGCCAGGCTGGAGTGTAGTGGCATAATCTTGACTCACAGCAATCTCCGCCTCCTGGGTTCAAGCGATTCCCCTGCCTCAACCTCCTGAGAAGTTGAGACTACATACGCCACCATCCCTGGCTAATTTTTAAAAATATTTTAGTAGAGACAGGGTTTTACCATGTTGGCCAGGATGGTCTCGATCTCCTGACCTTGTGATCCACCTGCCTCAGCATCCCAAAGTGTTGGGAGGCGTGAGCCACTGCACCCAGCTGAGAATATCTTGACTATGGAACATGCATTCTTATAAGAAAACTCTAACTTCAAGCTCAGTCTACAACACTCCTCCTTGTTTCCTGAAGTTACTATCACCCTTTTGGCCATGGGGCACGTAAGACAAGAGCTGTGCTTTTCTTCGGCTTTCACAGGACTCCAGAAAAAAAATGAAATCTCAGAGAGGAGGAGAAACTGGTTAGGTGCATTGCAGTCTAATGCTACCTCCCTGCTTCACCCCAGCTGCCAGTTCTAAAGGCTCATGTTCCAATGTCCTCACTTCTTAGTCTTCAGAGAACTGCCATATGCATAGTAATGGTCACCTGCCCAGGCTGTCCTCCCGCCCAAGTGATAAAAGCATCTCAGGGGCCCATTTTTACATACCTGGTGCAGGAGGACTTCTATTCACTTTACTGTCAGTTTCCTTTAGGACCAGTCTCCTTCTACTGCTCCTCCTTGTATTCCTATAAAATTTCTTCCTATTTCCATTGACTTCTCCAATGGTCTCTGCCCACTCAGATCTCCAGTGCCACTCCTCTCTGGATTAAATTCTTGTTCTTCAGTCTCTTTACCTTTGATCATACTTCGTTAGAAGGTGTGTATGTTGGGAAGATAGGTTGAAAGAGTTTTTTCAATACCAGCCTGATGAAAATGAATCAGATTTGAAATAAGCACATACATAACTGAAATTTCACTGAGAACAATTGAGTAATATGATTAAACTAAAACAAGATGATGGGTGCACAATATTTCTGTAACACAGCTATTACTGCAGACCATTTACGTCTGTCAGATACAGACAACAATAGTCTAAGAAGCTCAGAGTAGATGTTATGGCATTTTTTGAGAGCATTGTTTATAATCCGAAGTGTGTGGAAAGTCCATATTTGATTTGCAAAGGAATCTTAATGTTGGGATGAAGGATACAGCCTCATAGTGAGACAGTCAAGTATAAAGGGATCCCCGGAGAACCTCCGACCGCCCTGGCACTGGGAGAATGGGGTGGAGCCATGGGAAGTTCACACCCTTTGCAGCGGGGAGGAGCCTGGCCTCTTATGTTCGGGGTGGTAACCTGGGATTCAATCTGTAAGGCGGGAAACTGACTAGCAGGACTCTCACTCTGCTGAGGGTCCATGCTTCCCTTTTTTTTCCTTCCCATCCAATAAATTCCATCTTTTCTCACCCTTCAAAGTGTCTGGGAGCCTAATCTTTCCTGGTCATGTGACAAGGACCCTAAGGAGAAAGTCTAGAACAATCGAAATTTAAAGAAAATTTGGAATGCTGCAATGATTGCCTTTCAGAGAAATAAAATAAAAATTTGCTGAGTGTATTCAATACTTTGTTCACAGCTTGGTATCCAAGAAACATCCCTACCCTACATCATTTCTTCTTTAGTCTCTTCTAATTCAGATGGGAATCTGTCAACATTTAAAGATAGTTCTGACTCCTTGTGTCCACTTACATGGTCCTGGTTTTCACAGACTTTTCCAATTAAATGGCTTTGTTCTTGAAGAGTGGGACAGTCTCATATCTTATAACCATATGTCTACTGGAATGTACCCACTACTATGCCTATAAACTGAAGGTACCAGGACCACAGCATTTTAGTCTTCAGACATCATCTAATTCAGGCTAAAACAAATGTTAGGGCTAAAATTCAATTTTCAGATGGAATCTAATACCAAGCCACAATATAAATTCTGGTTAAAAAAAGGTCTATGAGGGATTTTTCAACTCATGCCTACTCAGCCTCCATGTTGACCCATCCCCTTCTCTCTGCCAACCCTGAAGGCAAAGGAATGGAACTATATGGTCCTGTGAATAACAGTTTGAGAATGACTGATCTTGTATAATCTGTGAATTTTCTTTGGAAACGGAGGGTCAGAGAGATTAAGCAGCATAGTCAGTGTGAAAAGCAAGTATTACAAAAAGCTGGGCCTAGGAACTGTCTCCTGACAGTTCCTATTATGGATTTCCTTTTAACAGGGGAGAAAAATAAGACTCAACAGAAAAAGTAGAAATCATTTCCCCAAGATGTGATGCTGAGAAGAGTTTATGTTTGAAAGATCTGTGTACACTTAGGAATGTTTATTGCTGAGGGTTTTATTCATGACTCCATGCTTCTTCTTCATTTCTTTTTAGTTTGTTTTGTTTTGTTTTGAGATGGAATCTCACTCTGTCACCCAGGCTGGTGTGCAGTGGCGCAATCTTGGCTCACAGCAACCTCCACCTCACGAGTTCAAGTGATTCTTCTGCCTCAGCCTCCTGAGTTGCTCAGATTACAGGCATGTGCCACCACAAGCCTGGATAATTTTTGTAGTTTTAGTACAGATGGGGTTTCACCATGTTGGCCAGGCTGGTCTCGAACTCCTGACCTCACTTTGGCCTCTCAAAGTGTTGGGATTACAGGTGTGAGCTACTGCACCTGGTGTAGCGTCTTCATTTCTCTAGAATGTAGATGGATCAAAGTGATTCAATATTTTTTTAAAAAGGCGTCATAAAAATGAGAATGAAGGCCAAGTGCAGTGGCTCACACCTGTAATCTCAGCAATCTGAGAGGACGAGATGGGAGGATTGCTTGAAGACAGGAGTTTGAGACCAACCCTGCTCTGGGCAACAGCAAGTAGACCAGCCCAAGCCAGGAGTTTGAGACCAGTCTATCTCTCTAAAAACTAAAAAAAAAAAAAAAAAAAAAAAAAAAAAAAAAAAAAAAAAATTAACTGGTCTTGGTGGCATGTGCCTGTAGCTACTAGGGAGGTTGAGGTGAAAGAGGATTGCTTGAGCCCAGGAGTTTAAGGCTGCAGTGAGCTATGATTGCACTGCTGCACTCCAGCCTAGGTGACCGAGTGAGACCTCAACTCTAAAATATAAAATGAGAATGATATCAAAATCTCATAACAGAGAGAACCAAACTGGAGAAAGGTAGCCTGTATTCTGAGATTTTGAGAGGAGAGTTAACAGTTTGAACTTTAATAGGGCTGATGATCAGAAGCTTGTTAGAGTTAAATGCTACCTCTATATGGAGAAAACTGTCGAGTTAATGAAGATTTCTGGAGTTACTCATCATGACTCTGTGTCTTCTGGAAACTAGATGATTAATCATAGCAAGTAGTAGAATGAGGGTGGCAGGCTGTCTTCTGGCCCTGGCTGCCTGATACTACTGCAGGAGGTAGAAATTGGTAGACTATTCTTTGATTGTTCTATTCAAAGCTAGCTGTAATTTACTTGGTTTTGTGTGGGCAGGAAAAAACATGTCAGAGAGAGACACATAATCAAAATATTGAATCACAGAAATATTGCACGTGGGCTAGCTCTGGGGCCATCAGTTTTAGATTGCAAGGGAAAATTGGTGAATGGAGTTAGCATAGAGGGCAGCTGCCTGGCTATAGTTTGGGATTTCTCCTGAGCTGAAGCAGAAGGGAAGATTTAGCAACTGTTTGTCTTGACAGAAAATCATCTCTGATTGTTTGCGGGGCAGAGGATTGGAGTCAAGAAGATACAGACAATTTCAAACGAGAAATCCTGACCCGTGTCGTGTGGAGCTGTGTTTGCCTGATGAACCTGTTATAACTCCATCCACCTTCACTCCAAGGTAAAAATCTTTTTAAATCAAGAAAACAAAAGTAAAAATTAGAACTTAGTCCTAGCAAGTTGGAAGGCAGTTCAACCTCCACATACACCTGTGGGAATTGTCTTCTCTTACAATCTTCCTTAAAAATTTGCTGTAGATACCTTGATTTCCTCCTGTCTCATCTTTTCCCCTCAGATGAGCTGGGAGTGAACTCTTGTCAGTCCAAAGGCATAATATTCAGCCCAGTGCAGATCCTTGGACTCCGTGATGCTGTGGACACAGCCTTCAATGGCATTGACCTCACATGACTTGGGTCCAGATTCTTTTGTGCCTCCCATAGTTGTGTGAACTTAGGCATGTTTCTTGATTTCTTTTTTCTTTGTTTTTTGGTTTCAGTTTCTTTATCTGAAAGCCAGAATCATTATACTAGCTTCATGCAGCTGGCATGGGGATTTAAAGACTTTGAGAAAAATTTATGTCCAGCTCTCAGCCATGGTTACCATATTGTGTATTTCCCATACTATTTCTCTGGTCATGGTTTCCTGGATGTAGCTCACGTTTCTAATTTACCTAAGGTTTACATGTTTGGAATCACTTTGTTCCTTTAGACAACTATTTTGGGATTTTTTTTTTTTTCTCTCCAGTAGAACGAAGTGGAGAATAACCTAGAACACCTGCATGAGGTACAAGTTCTTGTCTCATACCTGTTTTAATGATTTCCAGGTTCTGTGCAAGGCATCATTTGAAAAGCAAAGAGGCAGCGCCTGCTGTGGGCTCACCTAACAGCTGAGAGCCTGTGGCATTCTGTAGCTTACTGAGACTTTAGGCATTACTAATCTGTGAAATGAGAAAGTTCCATGGTATAACACCTAAGCTAAAATCCTCAGTTACACATCAAGAAAATATAATAAGCAGTCTATCAACATGTTACTTTATCTATGTGGAATCGAGTTTTCTCCTCTTAAGTTGTGTCTTAATGTGGTACATTCTTGTACCTTCAGGTAATCTGAATTTTTAAAATACTGTGAACATGCACTTTTACTTGGCATTCCCATATCTGGTCTGTTAGCAAGTCGTTCTGAGGCGGAAGAATTCCCTTGACCCCCTCGTGGGATTGCAATAGGGGTGTGGCTTGTTTACCTGGCCGCCGTGCACTGGAACCCCTGGTGGGCGGAGGAGGACACAGGTGAGCAGGTGTGGGGCTAGGCCCAGCGCTTTTGGGTTCCGGCCCCACAGTAGCATCTAAGGGTGTGTTAACAATTAATGCTCTTAGCAGTTGCCATCCACTGACGGCTAAGTGTTAACCAGCTCGGTGAGGAGACGAGGCGACAGCCTTTTACCCCTTGCCCTCTTGGTTTTACACCTTGCCCTCTTGGTATCCGGGTTCTTGTTCGGCGTCCAGGAAGAATTAGGTCGAATGATTGGTTTGAAAGGTGATGAATGCGGAGGATTTTATTAAGCGGTGGAAATGGCTGTCAGTGGAAGGGGAGCTGGAAAGGCTATGGTGTGGGGAGGAGGTGACCTTTCCCTGAAGCCTGGCCTTCTCGGGCCAGACTCCATTCTGAAGTGCTGTCTGAAGTTAAGTTGAGACTGTCTGTAGTTTCCAATGCTCAGTTGCTTTTTCTCTCCATGGCAGCCGCTTGTCTCTCTGCCGGCTGATGTCGGGTTTATATGGGCACAGGATGGGCGCGGGGTGGAAGGTCAAAAAAGTAACATTTGGGCAGGAAAACAGGGATAAGTCTTCTCCTTTAGGGACCCGGATTCCAGGCTTAAGGGTGGGGCCTTTGTCGGGAACCGCCCTCTTCTACCCAGTATTTTCCCTGCCTCTTGTCCGTATCAATTCCTGTGAAGACTTCCTTCAAAATATAGCCTGAATCTACCCACTTCTCCTCAGCATCATAGGCAGTGTCCCTCTGGATTGGCAGAATTGCCTTTCACATGGGTTATTCATTTTCATTCTTGTCTCCCTACAGCCTTACTCTCCCCAAAGCAGAAGAGCATGGTTGTCTAAAATGGGGATTAGATTTTGTAACTTCCAGATGTAAAGCCTTTGCATGACTTCTGTTGCTTTTCATGAGGTCTGAACCTCTTACTGTGTCTAGAGAGCTTTGCATTACCTTTGTTTTCACTCATCTTTATCTCCAGTTCCTCTCCGCTGAGACTTTTCTCCAGCCATATTGAACTCTTTGGTTTCACTCACATGCCAAGCTCTGTTTGGCTTCAGAACTTTGTCTTGTAACTCTTTGTCTGGAGAAGGCTTGCTCATTGTCATCTCTGTAAATATCACATCCCCAGAGACTTGTTTCTGGAATATCCTATGAAAATGAGCACCCTATTACTCTGTTTTGGTTTCTTGATATGATTTATCACTTTTTCAATTATATTACAATGATTTATATTATATTAAAAAGATTTTTGAAAAACCACTTGAATAAGTCATTAAAATGATTTTTAAAAACCACTTGAATACGTCATTAACTGTTAAGGAAACTAAGTTAGTAACCAAAACCTTTAGATTCAGATTATTTTATAGGTAACTTTTATAAAATCATCAGGCTATAGATAATTTCTAGCCTACACAATCTTCTTAAGAGAATAAAATGGAGAAGCTACACAAATTATTTTTATGAAGCTAGTACAAAATAAATATCTTAAGCAGAGGATAAGAAAAAATTAAAAGCCAATCTCATATACTGAATATAAAAGTAAAAATCCTAAGAACAGACTAGCAAGACTGGAATCCTACTGTGTATGTATTTACACAGACATATCTATCTATCTATCTATCTATCTATCTATCTTCTAACTTTTTTTCTGTCTAATTTTAGGGGTCTGACTTTATAATAATTTGTCCCAAAATAGTTTTATAAGATAAAAATATACAAATATAAAGGTCAAAATGGGTACATTTGAGTATAATAAAATATAAAAAAGCCCTACGTATCTTCAATGAAAATGCTTTATGCAAAGTTGAGTAGCACAGTCCACAGTTCAGGAAAGCACATGTAAACATTAGTGCCAGTAATTTATAAAGAACACCTACAGTTCAATAAGAAAATCCAAGCAGCCAAATAAACAGTTGAGCAAAAGACATAAACATATTATTTACATAAAATAACACATACATGCCCAATAGCTATCAGGATAAATGTTTAAGCTTACTAACAAATAGAAAATGCAAAATAAAATTGTAAGATGGCATTCCAATGATTGGCAAAATCTTAAAGTCTGATAATAGAAATAACAATGGTTGGTTAGAATGTGGGGAAATAAACTCAACGATTTTCAGTGAATGTGTAAATTGGTCCTACTGCTTTCAAAGTAATAGGATAATATCTATAGAAACTGAAGATGTCTATACAATTTGGTTCAGTATTTCCAATTCTACTAGAAACTGTTGCATTTATGTGAAAGGAGATGAGTACAAGAACGTTACAAGTAAATTTTGGAAAGTACCTAAATGTCCATGAATAGTGATTGAGTAAACAAATTTCTAACTAGGAATACTACGCAGCAGTTATAAATGATGATTTAGAACTAAATTTGTAAACATGGACTTTGGAAAAATAAACTATAATATTAAGTCAAAAAAGCAAATTACACAACAGTGTAAATAGTGTTGTACCTTTGATTAAAACGTTAATAAGCATACAATAAAATAGTATTTATATTTTATGAATATGTATACATATGTGGCATAAGGACTTGCCTGAGAATTACAAGCACAGAATTCAGGAGAGCTGTTAGCATCCCAGGTAAGGGAAAATGGGAAGATGTGATTAGAAGGAAAACATAGGAAGCTCTAACTTTATCAGCAATGTTTTATAACTTAACATCAGAAGCAAATGTAGTGAAATGTTAATACTTTATAAATTAAAAAGCTATGAGGTAGGTACACAGACTTTCATTATGCTAGTCTTTATAACATTCTGTGTAAAGTATTTTGTAATAAAATATATAAAGCTTTTCTTCAGATCTTTGTTAAAATATGCATTTGTTACCACCCCAACACCTCCACATTTTCATCTAATTTTAAATTAAATATAAACTGTTTATTTCTAGAAAAAGGAAAAATAATATTAACAAAATCAAACTAAAAAAGTAACATTCACATTTCTTTGAAACAGTGCACATATAGTTTCTCCCAAAAGTTATGACATATATCTATATTTTTTAATCTGACATTCTTTTTGGATACTAACTGTTTCACCCTGCTGTTGATTTCATAACTTTTTTCTTGATTGGGTGTTTGTCATTTTGCTCAAATATTCATGTTAGGACTTCTTCTTATTTACTTTAGCATCCAAAATATCCATCCATGAGTGAGAATGTGGTAGAATCAAGCTTAGAGCACAAAACCAACTCCGTAAATGTTTGCTGAATCCCTCATTGGTTGACCATCTTAACTTTGTAGTAATTATACAAGTATGATGAATACTTTTTTGGAAAACGTGGTTCTCTTAATGTATTGATAATGTATTTATTTTCAGCTTTTTAAATCTACATATGGAAATATAACAAATAAAATATAGTATTATTAGCTAAATTTGAATTTCAGATATTCAATTAATTTTCCAAACTATAAGTATGTCCCAAAATATAAGTATGCCCCATGGAGTATTTGGGACCTATTTACACTAAAAATTATTTTTCATGGTTGACAATTCAGACTAAGTTGGGCACCCTGTATTTTATGTGGCAACCCTGTCAAGGGCCAAACCACAGTATTTTTTTTTTTTTTTTTGAGAGGGAGTCTCGCTCTGTCGCCCAGGCTGGGGTGCAGTGGCCGGATCTCAGCTCACTGCAAGCTCCGCCTCCCGGGTTTACGCCATTCTCCTGCCTCAGCCTCCCGAGTAGCTGGGACTACAGGTGCCCGACACCTCGCCCGGCTAGTTTTTTTTTTTTTTTTGTATTTTTTAGTAGAGATGGGGTTTCACCGTGTTAGCCAGGATGGTCTCGATCTCCTGACCTCGTGATCTGCCCGTCTCGGCCTCCCAAAGTGCTGGGATTACAGGCTTGAGCCACCGCGCCCTGCCCAAACCACAGTATTAAATTGACCTTGAATTTCTTACCTCCCTCAGGGCCTTTAACCACTTTTATGGACTAGTGAATGACCAAGATTGAAGGTAAGTAGGACTTGCACATCCCTATTCAAGGAGTTAGAATAAAAGCGACATAAAACAAGATGGTCTTAGAAGAGAATATGTGGAGGAACCAGTGTAAATTTATGAAAATTCTTTGGGAAAATGAAAGTTTCACCAGTCTTCCTGATATATATTGCGATGATTTGAATATTTATCTTTTCCAAAATTAATGTTGAAATTCAATCAGAATTTGGCAGCATAGAGAGCTTTTAAGAGGTGAACCCATGAATGGATTAATCTATTCATGGATTAATGGATTAATGGGTTAATGGATTAATGGGTTATCACAGGAGTGAGATTGGTGACTTTTTAAGAAGAGAAAGAGAGACCTGGGCAAGCACACTCAGCCCCCTCACCATGTGAATGTACACTGTGCCACCCTGGGACTCTGCAGAGGGTCCCCAGCAGCAAGAAGGTCCTCATCCTCTACCTTGGACTTCCCAGCCTCCAAAACTATAAGAAATAAATTTTGTTATCTCATAAAGCATCCAGTTTCAGGTACTCTGTTATAAGCAACAGAAAACAGAGTAAAACATACATGAAAGACATAACATTTTTCTGTTGAGTGGGCTTGGGTTCATGATCTCAAAATTTTAAAATATTTACATAACTTTTAACTATTGCAAGCAGAATATCTAAAAACCACTTTTAGACCTTCCCCAACCAACAGATCCTAGGGATGGAGGGCTAGCTTACTGACTACTTGCACAGGCTCTGGTCTCAGTGTTCCTCCTTAAGGCTTTATTCAGCAGATATGGCTAGCTGATGGCTTCAGTTGTCAACATTCACTGTGCTTCTTGGAAAGCAGCTTGTCACACAGCATCACTGAAACTTGGAAGAAGGACTATTTGTCTTCAAAACCCACCCAACGTGAATAACTTCTCAAATTCTCGCTTCCATCCCAAGCTGTCCCCCCACAGGGGCACGGAAGCGGTCTGTCAGGCTAGGGTGCACAGTGGAAAACAACATGCCACAACTCCACAGTCATGTTTTTCTTCACTCATCTGCCTTGATCTGCAAACACATATATGCCACAAAGTGTACTGCCCCTTTCAATAAATAACAGAAGGCCCCTTAGACACTTGGAGGAGGAGGTTATATTTTATTAAAGTAGTCAGGCTATGGTTTTAGCCAATCAGGTGCCCTGATACACATATAGTGTTTACCATTCCCAAAGTGAGGCTGTTACTGGTAAAGTCAGATTAATGGTAGGATTTCCTGACTTATGCCCTAGGTCTTGATTTCCTTAGCATTGCATTCTCATCAACGAGGCGGAAATTGTATACCAAAACCAGAGCAAATGTGGAAGAAAACAAACAAAAGAAAGTACAATGTTCCTCAAAGGAGGGTGCATGGTCAGCAGAGAGGACCACACGGTTGTCGTAGCACATCACATCACACAGACCCTTGATTAGGGTCAACCCATCAACCAATTTTCTCTTTAGTTGCCCAAGCAATAGCCACCAGAACCTCTACTGGCACATCTCATTCCTTCATTCACAGCCTGCAGAAATTAAAGTGGCACCTTACTTTAGAGGATGAGAAGGGCAGTAGAGAAAAGTGGCAGGAAAGAATCGCAGGCTAATTTTCTTTAATTTTTTGTTGAGATTTGAGTGCAGAGAATCTTACTTTGCATGAACTAATAGGATAATTCACTAGTGTGATTTCACTACCCAGGACACATCTTCAGTAAACATACCACAGTTCATGAGATTTTTTTTCATGAGATTATTGGAGAAAATGCACATATACATTGCTACAGGGACATTTAATATCTTAGAAGCTGAGAATTACTCATCTTTCAATCTGTTCCACCATTGTATAGCTCTATGATCTGTCTGTAATATAATTTTTTTCCCCAGAAATATACTTTAGTATCTTAAACATTCCAAAACCCATTTGATGTCCAGACATTCTTTTTCAATCATCAAATAACGAGTCTCTGGGGAAAAGACTTTTCCTCCTGATGTACCCAGTAGGTTGTTCTTGACTGGCTGGTTTCTGCACCAGCAGTGCTCTTGATCTCACCTGCACTTTAAAAGACTTCTCAAAGTCACATCTAATTAACACTGACTCTGTATATAAAAAGGCTTTGTTATGACTTCTTATACTCAAAGCAGGTATTTTTTTCAGATGTTTCCAATCTATTAAATACAATGTAAGAATGACAA